ACAGCCACAGACCTTCCCATCTCGTAGATTAAGGTCTTTTTTGTTTTAACAATTAAGAACAAAATATATCTCAACTTTCTAAGCTGTGTTATATAAGTCAGATTTTGAAATGAAAAATAATATTTCTTGGCAATACAACAAATGTTTTCATTTTACATTACCAAGCCATAGCCATGTATTAACCCACTGACATAAGAAGGGTAAACATACATGCCTTGTTGTCCACCGTGATTATACTTATTTATTTTTTAGTTCTACCCAATCTCATCTGTTTACCCTTTTCCTTGATTTCAGAAATATTTATATTTTTTATATTTTATTGCCATTGTTATTGTCTACAACATTTTAATAATAACAAATATAATGATAATAATAATAATAATAACTGTAATAAAAGTAAAAGAAATACTGGAAAAAATCCTGAAAGTTCAAGGAATGGGGTAATCAGGTACGATTAACAAGGCCAGTTAATTGACGCCTTGGTGACTAAGCACTTAGGGTGACATCTTTCTTTAAACAAAATCAACTAGTTACTGTGATTATGGTATTAATATTAGCACTCCCAGTTTCAACAGGTCAATTATTATTAATGAGAAGAGATTTGGGGGGTGGAACATTAGGGCATTGATGAATTCAGTATGTGGTAATCTATAATTACAAGACTCGTGTAGGATTTGAACTGGATTACGACGCAGATGCAATTAGACCTTACCTATTTACATTAAGTATATTAAAAGGAATGAAGAATTCATATTGATTTCTCATAGTATTGTCAGTTCTAAGGTTCATGGTATCTTAAAGGATTTTAAAGTTCCTGAAGGTGCTACCATATTTAGTTTATGTATCATTGCATTGATCATCAGACTGTGTTGTCAGTTGGAATACTTGGATATCATGTCAGGTAGAAGATGAAATAAGGTCACAGCAGTTTCCAATTTGGACATGTGCAACAAAGACAAGTGTACTGGTGTAGTCCTTGTATTGCGCGTGCTAATACCTTTAAAATTTGTAGTTATTTGTGAGAATCTGTTGTTTAACCCAATGACATCTATTCTTTTCTGTGTTTTACACAGGTATGGAGTTTCAAATTCTCAAGCAAAATATTTCCAACGGCAAGCTAAACCTGTTTTTCAATGCCTTTATTCATCACTTTGTCCAGAATGAAATACAGGTTGGGAAAACATGGTCCTTACAGTTTTATCCTGATATTTACTGCAGCCCAGCAGCAATAAGTCACTACTGGGTTAACTTTTATTTTCATTATAAATATTTCTTCTTTTATTCTGGGTGTTTTTTTTGTTTTCTTCTTCTTTCTTTCATTGCTTAAAAGGATGGCCATTTCCTTTCTGGCACTTTCCTTTTTCTTTTTTTGTAATTATACTTTGTGAAAGCTCCAATGGGAGGATATCAAAATGCAGAGTTATGGAAGTATGAAAGTACTTGCTTCTCCTTTACAAGTTTTGCCTGTTACTTATAAAAGAAATAAAAACCGCACAAAAGATGATTATCATAAGATATTTAATATGGTACTGGTAAAATAAAGCAAAAACTAACAAGTTTGTACTGGAAGACAAGAGAAAATTTGAGCAAAGTCCCTATTTATTTTTAAAATGCCGGGTTTTGGTTAGTATGGAAAAATTAAGTAAGTGATAACAAATATAGACAGAGAACTGAAACTGAAGTAAAGAAAATACTCTTGATTTTTTTTTACAATACTTTATCATATCTTATTTCATGTTCTTTTATAATCCATCCATTCTCACTGAAACTGGAAGGTGATCCATCAACAGGAAAAAGAAACAATTTGTCATGACACATCTTTTTAAAAATTTTAGGATACATTTCACAGATCTCAAAAAAGAGAAAAATGTGGTCTATCATCTAAATTAATCTATGCAGATTTATATAAACATATATTAAAGGAACTAAATGCTGTTTAAAATCATAGTTTTTACACATTCATTTTGTCTTGATTCATAAATAATCCTGTGCATACTTTGGAAATGATTTTATGGTCTTATTAATATTCAACAATGTATCATAAATAAAAAGTCTATCCTGTATATCATATCTGTTGAAATACAGTTACTCTACTTACAAGAACTGAAGCCTAGAGCACTGTACTGTGCCTACACCACCCATGGCACTTGCCTACGACAGACTGAAATGATAACTGGTAGAATCTTGGAACATGGAAATTGAATAAATATGAAAGTTGGTTAATTAGCTACTCTAAAAGTCAACCCATTTGTGCAGGCTGTTTTGTCTAACAAGGTGAAGCTCTAAAATACAAACAGCTAAAAAAGTTTTTTGATGCAGAAGAAAATTTAAGAGAAAATCCTGTGGGATACACATCCCATCTCAAAAGACATATTCAGATTCATCATGAACCTATATCTGGAGAGCTAAACCTAAATATATTCTACAATCTCAATTGTAACCATTCTTCAAAAAATAATTGTGCTATTACCTCCTAAAAGTGATTTAATCTATTGCAATAATGGCCTTTGAATAAATTATCACCCTCTTGTCCTTTGGACCCCACTCACTTAGGGACATCACTGTGTTTCTTCAAGTGTTGCTTTAATGAGCCATAATCTCGACTCCTGTAATCACACAGCTCACACTTATATGGCTTTTCTCCCGTGTGTATTCTCATGTGCCTCTTCAGAGCCTCACTGTAGCTTGTCTTATAGGTACAAAGTTCACAGTTGTAGGGCTTTTCACCTGTGTGAGTTCTCATGTGCTTGGTCAGGTTGCTCTTCCACTGGAAGACCTTCCCGCACTGAACACACGTGTGACCAGCTTCATTTTCATTGCTGACCAGATGTGGGCCCTCTTCTCTTCCCCTACCAACAGACATTCCAGCTTTGCTGCCATTTTCCTGTGGTGCTCCCTGCAAGAATGAATTATTAGTAACATGATCAGAATGTTTGTTGGTTGGTTTGTCCCATTTAGCATTCAAATCTTACTTCAAAAAATATTTTAAAAAATAATCTGTGAATAATACAGAATTGTTCGGGTGGTTAGTCTTAGTCACTACAAATATACTTACATGTGAATTGCCTTCAATCATGACATTCAACATTGCATTGACCTCTGCATTTGAACTTGTTGCTTGTGTGTTTTGATTGTCATTGTGTGCTGCCTGACCTGAATTTCCATAGTTCTCTCTCCCTGAAGTAGAAATGAGTGTCTGTAGAGACTTGAGATGGGGAGAATAACCTTCCTCCTGGCCATAGCCCATGTCTGAAACATCACCTTCTAAATTGTGATCCTCCACTTCAATCTTGACCTTTATCTCCCCTTCATTCTCCAAGTTGAAGTTGTGTGAGGTTTTACTCTTCTTGCTCTGGTAGTCCTCTTCATAAGGTACATCTGCATCCCATTTTTGTTTCCTCTTGTGGGGTCTCTCACTGGATGCCCCCATGACCTCCATCTCCCTGCCACTGGAGTCCCTGTCCTTAGAATCACTCCCATCTCCACTGCTCTCGCACTCATCATCTTCGTAGGGCACAGCCAGGCCTCGCACCATCAGCACCTCAGCTGCACTCACCAACTTTGGAAGGTCCTCCTGATTGACCACAACCTCCCCCAAGTACATGAAGTCTAGGAGGGCTGCCAGTTCTTTGTGCTGCACATTGGACGACAAGGAAATAGAGCCTCTGTGTGGGACATCAATCAGTATGTCTTTGAAGTATTCACTGCATGCTGTCAGGACAAACTTATGCACCCAGTGGACATGGCCATCACATTCCAGCTGCACATCTGCATAAATTTCCTAATAAAAAAAAGAGAAAGTCACCATTAATATGAAAATATATGCATTTTAAAATGCACATTGTATGAACATGGAAACTCGTGAATATTTTAATATCATTTTTACATACACTTTATTAAAAGAAAAATATTTTTCCAAATCACAAAATTCAGAATTTTAGCTAAACTGAATAATCTGTTGTGTGCAGTATCAAGATTAGGACTAGCGACTTCACATCCTATCTTATCAATTAATTATCAGTTCCAAGATAATAAGTTTATAGAGTAAATACATTTTCCAGTGACACTCACCTTGCTATAAATTTCCTTGATTCCTCGACAAAGAGCACTGCGGTGATTCCACCACTTCACTGATACTGTTTCCTTTGCTTCAGCCATCATCCACTTCTCTGCTGCAGATGAAAGCATTAACAAATAAGCTACTGTTCAAGCTCATAAAAAATGTAAAGACTTTACAAAAGTATACTATATTTACATGTTATGGTATCTGCTTGTTAAATCTCTAGTTTGGTCATGAACAAAGCAAAGAAAAGAATAAAGCA